CTTTAAAATAAACTTTGTCCTGTCGCTCACCCATATGCTCTGGAGTTTTCATTACTGAATCTCCAAGACCAAAGACCCATAGCAGAAAAAATACTGGTAACAAAACGACCGGGTATTTGGAAGGAAAGCAAAGGGAGTGAATGTGTTAGTAGCCGTGGTTAAGATTCCTGACCACACCCTCAGAAGACCCCCTTAAATCCTCCACTGTAAGAACCAGAAAGAGTTTGCCCCCGCCCTTCCGGCCGCCGCGCCAGCGCAGCGGTGCAGCGCAAAAGCAAACCGCTCCCCAAACCAGACGCCGCCACTACTTGCAAAACCTGCAGTACGCACGCGCAGAGAGGCAGGGGGCGTGGTAACCCGATACGCTCTCCGGAGAGCTAAAGTTAATTGAGTGCGGCAGCGATTTATAATTTGGCGGCGTTGGCCTGGTTCCTCACTTGCCTTTCCTCAGCTAAGCAGTCCTGCTGGCGAAGCGGTGAGCGCAGTGCCTCTTGGTAACCGAGCTGAGGAGGAGATGGAGATACGCAAGGATAGACGGGTGGAAATGCACAGTAGGAGGCACAGCGTGCACGGGACCTCTGTGCAAAGGGAGGGTGGAGTGGACCGCGGGAAAATTCCTGCGGAACTGGAGGGGCGGGCCAGCGTGTGATTGACAGGCGAGAGACGGAGGCCGGGGAAAGGCGCGCTAAAGGCGCCAGCTGCTTTTGAACTGGAGCAGCCTCTAGGAGAAATGACCGCAGGTGACACGTGTCAGGGTTTTCAGTTTGGACCAGCGATGGCAAGTACTTTTCATTAATTATCTTATTTAAGGTCACTGCAACAGGATGAGTGAGTACTATTACCCATCTCTATTTTACAGATGTGGAAACTGAGCCTTAAGGAGATAGTAGCTAACGCAAGGATACAGTTGTGATTCCAAATTTGGGAATCGCATCCTAGAGCCCATCTTGTTAACATCTCTACACTTCTACTGGCCCTTAGAGCTGGGAGTCAAGGCCGAGCAGGGTCCCGTAAAGAGGATTGGGATGAATGTAATTGACCAGAGTGTTGGCTGAGGTGACACAGAACTGGATATAAATACTAACAAATAACTGGTTGGGTTCCGGACAGTGTGAGGACTCAAGAGGATGGAGATGAGAGACGGAACAGAGAATGTGGATGTTATGAGCCAGACTATGCCCCAGCTGGTGGAGCATTGCCTGAGTGACTTGGCTCTGGATTAACAGGTGCAGAAAAGCTTTTCTCGGGGGGGGG